AATAAGATATGTATTCAACATAGAGGTTAAGAAATAAAAAATGGTAAAGAAGACGTTCTTTATCTTCAAACTAACATAAGGATGCTAAGATACAAACCAAGTGAGTGCCTATAGAAGCTGAGAGAGACTTTGGCTCCAAATGCAGATAAGAGAGCTACAAATTGATGTTTAGTCATAAAACTCTACTATGATAATAAGGTGGTTCAACATGACAAAACCAAATATGTTGAAGTGGACAAAATATGTCATCAAAGAGAAGGTTGAAGAGGGAATGATTTGCTTGTGTTAGAGTCCAGCGTCCCTTACTTGTTTATTCAAGGAAGGCACGGTTGGATAAAGCTTGAAGTTATGTAAGGGTGGTTATGCAGACTTAAGTTATTTCAAGTTCAGTTATTTTCAGTTTCTTATCTTATTTTCTCTGTCATGAAGTTAGGAGGTAGTTATTTCCAGTTATTGTATTGTAAGACTATTTAAGCTACTCTTATATGCAGTATTATGAATGGAATGAGTATTATTCAGTATATTTTCTTTGTCTCTATCTAGAATTACAGATTCTGGTTCTAGATATTCTTTTCTCTTCCTTTCCCATTTCTCAGATTCTTTCTTTCTTCTAAATTCTACTTCTCAATTTCCTAAGCCCTATCATTTTGGTATCAGAGCCTAACAATCTTGGGCTGTGGTGACAAAATGGTGAATACTAGAAAGAAAAATGACTCAACCAACCCTCCACTTCTTCAAAATCCTAACCTGGAAGCCACAGAAGATTCACATCGAGAGGAACCTGAGAGTGCTTCTTCTCGGGACTTAATAACGCAACAATTATCAATCATTGTGACACAGTTGAATACAATGGATGCTGAGATCAATGAATTGAAGACAACGAAAGTGCAGGATCCTATGATTTCTCCCTCAATGCAAAATAGAAGGACTATGCATACAGAACAGGAAGAGAATGATTATGATTCTCCTTGGTGGAGTAAAAATCCATCCAAGCAACCACATTCTAAGGTGGAGTTTCCAAAATATGAAGGTGGAGATCCTAGAGGGTGGGTGATGGAGGCAGAAAAATATTTTAGGTACTATCAAACCCCTGAAGAATTAAAAGTTGATGTGGCTGCTATGAATTTAGAGGGTGATGCTCTTGATGTTTTTACTTGGTTTTCTTTGGGAAGAACCATTAGTTATTGGGAAGATTTAATTCAGATTTTCCAGGAACATTTTGGTCCAGCAGAATTTCAAAATCCAGATGTTCATTTATGCTAATATCAAGCAAACTGGTTCAGTCCATGAATATAGACAAGAGTTCGCCAGAAGGGTTTCTAGAGTACATGGGTGGCCTGAGCATTGTTTACTTGGAGTTTTTATTAATGGGTTGAAAGAGGAGTTACAGTATGATGTTAAAATTCAAAAGCCCAGAACCGTTTACAAAGCAGCCAGCCTAGCAATGGAGTTTGAATTAAAATTACAAGCCCAGCAAGCCTCTCGTCCAGTTCAACGTGCCATATCAACACGTGGCACTAAGAGTGGTTATAATTTTAAGGATAATAAATTTTATTATCCTAAAAATACAGTAACTGCTCCTGCTGGGCCAATTCAATCATTTAATGTCACATCTCACAATCAGAAGCAGTTACCCTTGACATTTTCCAGCACTTCAGCGTCAGTTACCACTCCCTCCTACATTTCCGAAAGTGACAAGCAGTTAAGGAGAGAGAAAGGGCTTTGTTTTAAATGTGGAGATAAATTCTCTCCTGGCCACCGTTGCAAACCATCTTCCTTTAAGCTTTTAGAAATCACAGAAGATTGTGACGAACCTGCAATGGAGAACACCACCTCAAGTTATGCTGAAGAAAATGATATTGCTGAAATCTCACTTCATGCAATTTTGGGTGGTTCTACATCATCCACCATGAAATTGCAAGGCACCCTCTTATCTAAACCTGTCCTTATCCTAATTGATAGTGGTTCTACCCACAATTTTATTTATGAGAAGATTGTGGCAGAATTAAAGATTCCTACACAGCAGATCCCTACCTTTGGAGTGCAGATTGGAAATGGGAATATCATTGCCTGCCGATCTGTTTGCAAGCAAGTGGAAATTCAGGTGCAAAGTCTGACCATCAAGGATGACTTCTTCCCTTTTGCTATTGGAGGGGCTGACATGGTTTTGGGGATTAAGTGGCTAGCTTCTCTCAATACCGTGGAAGCAAATTGGCAAAAGATGTACATGATCTTTTGGGTGAATGGCAAGAGGTACAAGCTTCAGGGGACACCTCAATCTGAACGTACAAAGGCATCTTTGCACAGTTTCATGTCTACAGAAGACTTATCTTGGCCTGAACAGTATCTGCAACAACTATTGGGCGCTTATTCACAGGATTTTGCAAAGCCTAAAAAGCTTCCGCCTATAAGAGAGCATAGTCATGCCATTCCTTTATATCCTGGGGCTATACTACCAAATATTCGACCCTACAGATGTCCTCATTATCAGAAAGATGAAATAGAAAAACAAGTGGCAGAATTGCAGATCAAAGGTTTCATAAGGCTTAGTGTTAGCCCATTTGCTAGCCCAGTTCTATTAGTGCCCAAGAAAGATTCAACTTGGAGATTTTGTGTTGACTACAGAGAACTCAACAAGATTACTGTACCAGATAAGTATCCAATTCCCAATATTGATGAACTTATTGATGAGTTACATGGCTCTTCTTACTTTTCAAAGATAGATCTTAGGTCTGGTTACCACCAGATTCGTGTTCTGCCTGAAGACATACCTAAAACTGCATTCAGGACACACTTTGGCCACTATGAATTTCTTTGATGATATTTTAGTGTACAGCAGGGATTTCCAAGAACACATGTCTCATTTGAGAATAGTGCTGCACACTTTACAGCACAGCGAATTCTTTGCTAATCCCAAGAAGTGTCTCTTCGTCCAAAGGGAGATTACCTTCTTAGGTCACATCATAACACAAAATGGAGTTGCTGTTGATCCAGAAAAGATTAATGCAGTCACTAATTGGCCTCTTCCACAAAATGTTTCAAAACTCAGAGGATTTTTGGGGTTGACTGGTTATTACAGGTGCTTTGTTAAACACTATGGTCAGATAGCTAAACCCTTGACTGATCTAACTAAGAAGGATTCCTTTCAGTGGAATGCTGATGCCAACAAAGCTTTTCTCAACCTGAAGCAAGCCTTGATTAATGTGCCTGTCCTACAGTTACCAGATTTTTCTGCTAAGTTCTCAGTAGAATGTGATGCCTCTTCTACAGGAGTTGGTGCTGTTCTGCAACAGAATGGGCATCCTATTGCTTTCTTCAGCAAGGGATTGTCTTTTTCCAATCGCTACAAATCTGTTTACAATAGGGAATTGTTGGCTTTAGTGCTTGCTTTGCAAAAATGGAAACATTATCTCCTTGGCCGGAAATTTGATGTCTACACTAATCATTGTAGCTTAAAATATTTGCTTGAGCAGCGTGTCACTACACCAGAACAACAACGATTATTGATGAAGCTATTACCTTTTGACTTCCAAATTTTTTACAAAGCTGGTACATCTAATCAGGGTGTTGATGCTCTCTCTCGCTGCCCCCATATGTCAGATCTTTTTGCTATTGCAATACCTCATGTGACAGACTTTGATGATTTGCCTGAACTGTTACAACGTGATGATTACACTGCATCTATTATTCAGTCCCTACAATCTAATACCAATTCTATGCCAGACTTTGCATTTTCTGCAGGACGCCTTTATTATAAAGACCGTTTGGTCATTCCTGCTCCTTCTGATTTAAGTACAAAGCTGATCGAGGACGCTCATACAGCACCTATTGGGGGTCATGGGGGCACATTGAAGACTTTAAAATGGCTGCAACAGCATTTTTTCTGGAGACATGAAAAATGAAGTTAAAAGGTTCGTGCAAAATTGCAAGGTTTGTCAACAATATAAATAACAGCCCCAAGCACCTGCTGGCCTTTTACATCCTCTGCAAATTCCAAAAAATATTTGGGAAGACATTTCAATTGATTTCATTATAGGTCTCCCAAAGTCGTTTGGCAAAGATGTTATTTTGGTGGTGGTTGACCGTTTTAGCAAATATTCACATTTCCTTGCATTATCTCATCCTTTTACTGCTAAAACTGTTGCTGCACTCTTTTGCAAGGAAATTGTCAAGCTTCATGGCTTCCCTAAATCTATTGTTTCAGATAGGGACCCGGTTTTCTTAAGTGCTTTTTGGCAGGAATTATTTAGACTCAGTGGTACTAAATTATGCATGAGTTCAGCTTATCACCCCCAATCAAATGGTCAAACTGAGGTGGTCAATAGGTGCCTTGCAACATACCTCCGTTGTTTCACCCAAGATCATCCCAAAGCTTGGAGTTCTTATCTTCATTGGGCTGAATTTTCTTACAACACAGGACATCATAGTGCTACTGGCTCTACACCATTCAAAATAGTGTATGGCCGAGATGCTCTTGTTTTATCATCTTATCAGACTGGAAGTACAAAGATTGAAGAGCTTGATGAGTTTATGGATGAGAGAGAGGCTATGCTTACTACTATCAAAGACAACTTGGCTCAAGCTCAAGCTAGGATGAAGGCTCAGGTTGATGGAAAACGTAGAGAGGTGGATTTCAAACCTGGAGATATGGTCTTTATTAAGTTGCAACCATATAAGCAGCGTTCTCTTGCTCAGAGGAAGTTTCAAAAATTATCTCCTAGGTTCTTTGGCCCCTATCTTGTTATAAGAAAGATTGGTTCTGTTGCATATGAATTAAAGTTGCCTCCTACTGCTAAAGTACATCCAGTGTTCCATGTGTCTCTCCTCAAGCTTGCTCATGGTTATGATTCTACCTCTCAATTACCTTCTCTCCCAATTACTGATGATTGGGAAATGGCACTTGAACCAGAAACGATACTAGATACTCGAATTCTTGCACATGCAGATCAGTCTGAAATAGAATTGCTCATTAAGTGGCAGGGCTGACCTAAGGAAGAAGCCAGCTGGGAATCTTATGATCAGATTGCAAATCAGTTTCCTACTTTCCACCTTGAGGACAAGGCTGGTCTCTTAGGGGGGGTAATGTTAGAGTCCAGCGTCCCTTACTTGTTTATTCAAGGAAGGCACGATTGAATAAAGCTTGAAGTTATGTAAGGGTGGTTATGCAGACTTAAGTTATTTCAAGTTCAGCTATTTTCAGTTTCTCATCTTATTTTCTCTATCATGAAGTTAGGAGGTAGTTATTTCCAGTTATTGTATTGTCAGACTATTTAAGCTACTCTTATATGCAGTATTATGAATGGAATGAGTATTATTCAGTATATTTTCTTTGTCTCTATCTAGAATTACAGATTCTGGTTCTAGATATTCTTTTCTCCTTCCTTTCCCATTTCTCAGATTCTTTCTTTTCTTCTAAATTCTACTTCTCAATTTCCTAAGCCCTATCAAATTGACATTGTCCCAATTGAAGATCAAACAGCAAATGCTCTTCAGGGACTTTCAAGATAAGAAAATTTAAGAACGCATAAATAAGTTGGAAATGATCAACATCTATGACCAAACTAGAAGGGGAGTGCGGAGAGAATTCTTTGAAATTAGTTCAATGTTAATTATTGTAAAAAGTTAGCAGATTCATTATATTATTAGGATATGAGGCTAAGAAAGAGGGATAGAATAAAATTCATTGCCTTCGTGTTTGCTAGGCACACTTACATGGTTACCTATCGGATTCACTTGTACAGATTACCATGAACCATGAAATCAGAATAGCAGCTCCACACTAACAACCCAAAATGAATAAGTCAAGGCTTGAGTCTAGCCAGTTATGGTTTCTGAGCATCCACACAACTCACTTTTCACTTTTCACAAAGAAACAACAGTAAGACATGAAAGACGAAATAGCCGTTGACAAAGCATCATAATAACAAAGAAATTGATCTGTCATTCCATCTTCCTCTTAAGTTACAGCATATGATTGGCCAATGCTTCATCCACAATTCATGTCCAATGGGCTTTTGTGTTGGAGAACATGATAGAAACCCCACTAAGGTATCATTTCAACACAACGAAGAACAAGCGAAATCCTACCACATTAGTGCACATAACAAGACTTCAAATATAGAGATATGTTGTTATAGGCCCAAAGCCCATTTAGTCATCAGATTATTGTGCTGATTATTTAATTCCTAGAATCTTGGCTAGTATCTCTAGGAATTAATTGTGATTATTTGGTTTGATTTTGTGTATCTTACCTTTCCTAGCACCTGTGTAACCCTAGGATTAGTGCCTATTATGTACAAATGTTTCCATTGAATAAATCAAGTTTTCTAGGATAATCTTTCTACATGGTATCAAAGCAATGCTATACATTATGATCTGATTCGGCTTTGGGTTGGATCCACCAGGCCAAGGTGGCTCTCCCTCATTAGCACACAACACCTTAGCAACAATGAACCTTGCGACAAGCCATCAAGCACCGACAGAAACCCAATTATCTTCAGTGGGCCAATGGTGTTCGCCTATATGTTACCGGAAAAAGGAAACTAGATTATCTAATCGGAAAGAAATCCAGACCGGCCCTGTCAGATGAGAAGTATGCCGAATGGGAAGCAAAGAACCCAATGGTCCAGTGTTGGCTCGTGAACTCTATGACCACTGAAATAAGCATTAGTTTTTTGCTTTTCCAGTCTGCCAAAGAAGCCTAGGATACAATAGGGGATAAGTTCACCTCAATGAAAAATAGGGCAACCATTCCAGATATAGAAACAAATCTAGACCATCCCAAATTAGGTAACCTCACTGTTATTAAGTACTAGACTAACCTTCTTGTTCGATGACAACGATTAGATTTGTACAAAGTCCATGAATAGTCATGTTTCGCTAATGCTACTCTGTACTCAAGGACAAAGGAAGAAAAAAGAATTTATAAGTTCTTACTTGGCCTTAGTTTAGCCTTTAATGCTGCATGTGGATGAATCGTGGGCCAAGAAACACTTCTAAGCCTCCAAGAAGTGTTCTTTATGATAAAGAAAGAGGAAACCTGACAAAAACTCTCCACTCCAAAGCCACCAGGCACAATTGAAGAGGAAGCAGGTGCATTTTTTCCAAAAAGAGGGCTACCTGGAGAGAATAAGGACAGGAAGGGCAGCAAATGTCAAAAGACTGGACACATGAGAGACATATGTTGGAAGCTCCATGGCAAGCCACCAAATGCCAAGGGAAGAGGTAAGCAAGAAAATGGAGCCTACTCAACCAACAATGAATCCAAAGCTGAGTTTGATAATAAATTGAGTAAGGAGGATATTGATTTCCTCAAAAAGTTGCTAGACAAGCATGACACTTAAGGCACTGGTTGCCACAAGTAATATGGCGCACCTAGGTAACGCTGTTTTGGCTTTTAAAAATTCTGTTCATAAAAAGGACATACGGATAGTCGACTCAAGGGCAATGGATCATATGACTGGTAGTAATATAGAATTGATTCAGAACTTCTTACCCTGCCCTGTGCCTATGTTCATCAATGTTGGAAATGGGCCTTTGTTAGTGGGCCCAAAAGTAGCTCTTTGATTTTGGTTTGACTAAGTAAACAGCTATCTAGGGTTACTGTCGTTATTATCCTTATTATCGAGATTTTAGGCATCATAGAATTATTTTGTTTCCTTTATTATCTTTTCCGTATCATATCGCAGGAGGATCTCGTGTGATTTTGTGAGACCTCTTCTCCTATAAGTGTATTGTTCTACACAATGAATAAAACAGATTATTCAGCATGCCATAATTTCAATCAAAATAGCTGATGGAAAATTCATTAAAGCTCAAGGAATGGGAGAAACTCAGTTATTTGATAACTTAGTTCTTGAAAGAGTGTTGTATGCTCCCGATTTAAAGTGTAGCCTAATCTCTGTTAATAAAGCTACTCTCACTCAACATTGTCACATTAGCTTCTCTGCTATTGTATGTCTATTCCACAACCTGGAGTTGAGGAAGATGATTGATGAAGATAAGCTACTAAAGGGGCTGTACTGTGTCCAGGACGGAGCATGGATGACTAAGGGATCACCAAGAGCATATTGATCCACAGTTCAGAGTTTTTTTGCTAAACTTTCCAGCAAAGATTTGTTGTTGTGGCATGTAGGTTAGGCCATCCCAACTTTGAATACATGTCAAAATTATTTCCTAAATTAATGAATAAAAATTCAGTTTCCATTCCTTGCGAAATCTATCAATTGTCCAATCATACACGAAATATTTACTTGACATATCCTCATGAATTTTCTCAACCCTTTTCGCTCATCATACATAGCGATCTTTGGGGTCCCTCACGTACTCCCAACTCGACCCAAACAAAATGGTTTGTCACATTCATAGACGATTAGACATGGGTGACATTGGTGTTTTTACTCAAAGAAAAATCAGAGTTGACATAAACCTTCCAAAATTTCCATAAGATGACACAAAATCGGTGCATCACCTCCTTGAAAATCCTATAGAGTGACAATGGTACAAAATATACCAACTCCATCCTCCAATCCTACCTTAAATAGCATGGTATCACACATCAAACGAGTTGTGGAAACTCCTCCCAACAAAATGGAACAGTAGAAAGACAAAATAGACACCCATTGAATGTCACTAGAGCCATTATGCTTACCAAAAACGTTCCAAAATTTTACTAGGGAGAAGCTATACTTACTACTACCCACCTAATTAACCGTCTGCCTTCCAAAACCTTGAACTTCAAAACTCCAATCCAAGTGCTATCTGAAACCTATCCCACACCTCACTTTTTTACCACTATTCCTAAAAAAATCTTTGGTTGTGTTGCTTATATGCACAATGATGTAGGCAGCAAATTAGATCCTAGAGCACACAAACACATCTTCCTTGGATACTCTACTTCTAAAAAAGGTTACAAATGCTATTCCCCATTCCAAAAAAAAATCCTTTCTCACTGTGAATGTTACCTTCAATGAAAATCAAAGCTACTACCCTAAAACACCCATTCAAGGGGAGAGTGAGCAAGAATGGGAGTTTTTAGACTTCTCACATCATAGACTGAACCACAATTAACACAATCAACCTGAAACAGAACCTACCCAACGATATACCATCCATGACAGCACCATACCTAACCCACCTAATCCCACATCTTGGCTTGTGCCTGAATCAAACCTAGATACAAAAACAGAGGCCGAAATAAAGACTGAATAGAACAATGATATGAAAAGAATGCTAGAAAATAAGGTGCCATGTAAAGAACCCAAGACAAGATCAACCCAGCAACAGTACAACACCTCTAGTATTGAGTAACACCAGTCTTCAACCCAGGCTCCAAATCCGGACGACCTTGGATGGCCCATTGCTTTGAGAAAAAGGGTAAAAAGGTGTACTCAACATTCTATTAGTCATTTTGTATCTTATGATAAATTGTCTCCTACTATGCAAATTTTTGTTACCCATTTGGATAATTTAGATAATAAGTAGCTACCAACTAGTTTTGAGATTGCTATCTGTGACCCTCACTAAAAAAGAGCCATTGAGGACGAGCTTAATGCTTTGCAAAAGAACCAGCATTAAAAAATTACCAAACTACTGAGTGGTAAGAAGATTGTGGGATGTAAGTAGGTCTTCACAAAGAAGTATAACCCCGATGGTACAATCAATTAGTATAAGGCTTGATTAGTGGCATGTAGACTTCACAAATCACTCTATGCCAGGAGTTCTCAACGGGTTCACTCAGTGTCAAACTAACCACACCTTATTTGCCAAGCATTCAAGGATTCAGGTAGCTATGCTAATTGTATATGTTGATGATATTATCCTGACAGGTGACGACACGACACTACTGAGATAGCTAGTCTCAAAAAGTCACTTAAGAAAGAATTTGAGGTAAAGGACCTGGGATGCTTGAAATATTTTCTTGGTATGGAAGCAGCTCGATCAAGAGAAGGTATTATTGTTTCTCAAAGGAAGTACACACTAGACCTCCTTGAACAAAGATTGAAATCTTTTCTGTATATACCAGATGGGTAATCTCGATAAATAGTATAGATGGGATGCCATTAGCTGTAATATCTCATATTCTAGCATAGGATTAAGCAATTCTATAATAATTACAAAATATATCAAATCTGCCCTAAGAGAGAAAGGAATAATATTAAAGATAGAATAATATCCCTGTAAATTAGGAGATTATCATGCTAACACTACCCCTCAAGCTAGTGAATAGATATTTATCATTCCCAACTTGCGATATAACTCCTCGAACTTGGAATTAGGTAGTCCCTTGGATAGTAAGTCTGCTGTCTGATCCCTTGATCGAACATAAATTATTTCAGCCTCCCCTGACTCAAGTTTTTCCATAATGAAGTGTCTGATCCTCTATGCTTAGTGCGATCATGATGCACTGGGTACTTGGCAAGACAAATTGCAGACTTATTGTCACAATACAATGTCATTTTTGGATCCACTTTAATTTTCAGCTCTGTCACAAGCCTTTGGACCTTCACATATATCAAGTGCCACTACATGGTATTCAGATTCGGTGCTGCTTCTGGACACCACACTTTGTTTTTTGCTCTTCCACGTAACTAAATTTCCCCACAGGTAGGTAAAGTAACCACAAGTTGATCTCATATCATCTTGGGTTCCTCCATAGCCTGTATTAGTGTATACTTCCAGATTCCTCGCATTACTGAAATGAATATCCTTCCCAGGTGCTAGCTTTGTATAGTATAATATTTTGTATGCTATTGGCATGTGTATTTCTCGAGGTTGATGCATAAATTGGCTGATAACAATAACTAGAAAACATATGTCAGGACGGGTATGAGAGAGATGAGTTTACCCACCAAGCATTGATATCTTTCAACATTGATTGGTGCTTCAAGTTTCTCCTACATATTCCTGAAATCTAGGAATATTGGAGTATCTTTAGGACTTGCTCCCAATATGCTAGTTTCCTTAAGTAGATCAAGGATATATTTCCTTTAAGAAACTATTATTCCTTTGCTTGAGCAAGCTATTTCCATTCCTAGAAAGTACCTCAAGGTTCCTAAGTCTTTTACTTCAAAGTTTGCAACCATGTCTATTATTCCCTCCGAATCATCACCTGAGATCACAATATCATCTGCATAAACTATTTGCATATAACCATTTCACCATTCAGAGTATTTTTCAAACCATGCTCTAGGTGACCATTTTACGCTGTAGAGGGCCTTATAGAGCCACCAGTCTTTTCAAGGCCGAGAGGGGCATCCATGTAGACTTCCTCAACTAGATCGTCATTTAGGAAAGCATTTTTGACATCAAGCTGGTGTAAGGGCCAATCTAAATTTACAACAAGAGAGAGGAGGATTTTAATTGTATTAAATTTAGCTACAAGAACAAATATCCAACATCCACATGCATAAATATATATCTTAGGAGCAAATTTAGCTAGTGTAAGGGCCAGTCTAAATTTTTTTGCTATATATCCACCTACGTCCATCTGTTGATTTTCCTGGTGGTAAGTCAACTAACTACCAGGTCTTGGTTTTTTGGCAAGCACAAAGTTCCTCATTTATGGCCTCTTTCCACTTAGGATGCTTTATAGCTCATGTAAGTATTTTGGTATTTTCTCCTCATTTAGCTTAGTCACAAATGCTTGCCTTCTAGGCAACAATTTTTCATATCCAACAAAGTTGCAAATAGGGTGTTAGGTACAACACCTCTTACCTTTACATAAGGCTATTGGCAGACCCAAATTCAACTCCTCAAGGCTAGAAGTTGGGGTATCATGGTCTCCCGTCAGAACTTGGGCAGATTCTTCTAGGTCCTTGTCAGGTTGCACTGATTCAACACTTGGAATGTGCTGTTTCAGCCTCTCCTATAAATAAAGACCTCCTTCTTCTGTCTTTTTGCTCTCCCTGCATTTGTATCCACTACATTCTCAAGGTTGCCATTCTCAGGGTGTTAGTTCAGTGGTATTTTTATCAGTTTCTAGTTCTATAGCAGGTTCAGATTTTGTAACAGGTTCAAGCTCTGTACTGATTTGGGTATTTTGGAGAGGCTCTGTACTGTGTTGGGTATTTTGGCGAAGGTTCTGTATTGTTTTGCGTATTTAGAGGTTCAAGTGATTTCAGGTGATTCAGGTCTAGGTGGTTGGTGCGGTTTCAGGTATGGGATCAAGAACAGGAGGGAAAAAAGTCAGTTCACTCTCAAAATTCTCCCCCTGAATAGACTTTTTGGGGTAATAGGATTGTTCTTGAAAGAAAGTGACATCCATTGACACAAAGTATCATTCAAGAGTAGGAGAGTAACACCTATAACCCTTTTGAGTAGCTGAATAACCCAAGAAAATACATTTATGAGCCCTAGTATCAAGCTTATTTCCATGCATGTTGTGGACAAAGGCAACACACTCAAAAACCTTTTAAGGAACCGTGTTTACTAAAGGCATAGAAAGATAGGCTTCAAACAACATTTTGCAAAAGAGCTTTAAATAAGGCATTCTATTGACAAGAAAAGCAGCAGTAAGAATAATATCTCCCCAAAATTGATTTGGAACACGTCTTGTAAACATGACAGCTCTAGTAACTTCTAGGAGGTGTCTACTTTTCATTTTAGCAATCCCATTTTATTGGGGTGTATAGGCACAAGAGGTTTGGTGAATAGTGCCATAAGACTCAAGATATCGACTAAAGGATTAGCTTAGGTATTCTTTTGCATTATCACTCCTAAAAATTTGAATTTCAGCCTTGAATTGATTTTGGATCAGCTTGTGAAAAGTTTTGAAAATTTTAAACACCTAGGATTTTTCCTTCATATGATAAACCTAAGTAGTTCTTGCGTAATCATTAATGAAAGTGCCGAATCAGCGATGATGGTTAACAATGTGTGTTTTGGAAGGTCCCCAAATGTCGCTGTGAATAATGGAAAAAAGTTTGGTTGGTTCATAGGGCTGAGGGGTAGGAGCTCTTGGTGTGCTTAAAGAATTGGCAAAACTCATATGATAAAGCATCAACTTTATTAAATAACTTTGATACAAAAACTTCATGTTTGAAAAACTAGGGTGTTCAAGTCTACAATGCAGCAATTCAACATCATTATTCTTAGAGGCAGCAATAGCAATCTTCTTCTCATGATCCATAACTAGGAAGTATAATCTGCTAAGTTTCCTAGCTTGTCCAATCATCTCCCTCGACCTTATTTCCTAGAAAATACAATGGTCAGCATAGAAAATAGCAACGCAGTGAAGCATTTTAGTAATCTTGCTAATAGCTATTAGGTTACAATTGAGACCTAATACAAAAAGAACATCACGAAGTTTGATCTTCCCTATGAGATCAACTGTACCACTTCCTTGAATTTGCTTCTGTCACCATTAGCTACTTTAATCCCTTGGTTACTTAAATACTCTTGCAAACTAGAGAAAACAGCATAATCTCCACTCATATGATCAGTGGCACCCAAATCCACTATCTAGGTGTCATTTAGGGAGGTTTGTAGCAATTAAGCAAGTATTAGAATTTTCTTATTATAAGAATTATCAAACAGTATAATATTTGATTGTGCTAGGTTAATATTTGATTGTGCTAGGTTACTAGCACTAATTTGCTTATTTAGTTGCTCATGCTGGCTAAGAATTTTCTTGAGCAAATCCAGCTCAATCAACGATAGTATGCGACTTTTAGAATTGTCTTCCTCCAGTGCACTTATTGCAACATTGCCTCTGCCTTCGGTTCCCTACCTTGTCAACTGATTTGGAGGCTTTCCACGTAGCTTCCAGCAAGTGTCACGTGTGTGACCACTCTGTTGACAATAATCACACCACCCCTTCCCTTGTTTCTTGCCAAGTTTAGCCCCCATGCCTCCTTTTACCACCAAAGCTAATGAATCAGCAGCAGCAGCAAGCGTGCTTTGAATGAGTTGTCGTTAACTCTCCTCATATTTCACTAGTTAACTGTTTTTGCAACTGATAGCAAGGGGTGTGTGGCCGTGATCCAGGCTCGAACCGCTTCATATGCTGAATTGAGGTCTAGTAAAAGCTCATAAACATGTTGGCGCTCAACAATCTTCCCATAACAAGCCAAGTCAGCATTACAGTGCCACTGTTGAGGATCATATAAATCCAATTGCTACCAGAGTTTGATAAGAGTAGTGTAATATTGAGTAACAAAATTACTTCCTTGAGTCGTTTCACGGAGGAGACCTTCTAGATGTGAAAGAGTGCAACTGTATTTTCAATGGTGGCATAAGTGATTCGAGCACTCTCCCAGATTTCCTTTGCACTAGTGGCCAAAACAAATTGCTCACTTATGTCGAATGTCATGGAGTTGATGAGCCAACCCATTAATTGATTGTTCTTGACAACCCAGATCTGGTGTTTTGAATCAGTAGACTCGGGCATCACAGCAGAATTTGATACGTATTGTTCTTACCCCTTTCCTCTGAGATACATTAACATGGCATGTGACCATTGCAAGTAGTTATGTTTGTTCAGCCTATGATTGGCTATATGTGATAGATTCTCCAGGGTCTGCAAAACTGAAACATTAGTGGGATTTGACACTTTTGGCACTCCATTGCTAGAACCAAAGGGAGTTTTTTGTTCTGACTCAGCATGGAACACTTCCATCAACCTAAAGGTAATCATCTCTTGTTACTTTGGTCGTGATACCATAAATAAAGAGAGACTGAAATCTTTTCTGTATATACTAGATGGGTAAATCCCAATACATAAATAGTGTAGATGGGATGCCATTAGCTGTAAGATCCTGTATAGAGCCTAGGATTAAGCAATTCTATAATGATTACAAGATACATCAAATTTGCTCTAAAAGGGAAAGGAATAACATTAAAGATAGAATAATATCCCTGAAAATTAGGAGATTATCACGCTCACAAGTTGGAAAATAAAGAAGAAGAAGAAGAGAAGGAAGAATATGTAAAAGTTCCTAATGATAAGAAGAGGAAGAGCAAATCCAAGACCAAGAAGGAGTCAACACCAGTGGATGCAGAGAGGTATAAGAGACTAGTAGGTAAACTCCTATATCTCTCTCATACTCGCCCAAATACAAGTTATGCAGCCGAGTAGTGGGTCAATTCTCAAGTTCGTGATCTGTTCTTTGCTAAAGGGAAATCAAGAGAGATCATTGTGTATACAGATGCAAACTATGGAGGATCCAACCTTAGGATACTGCACTATGGTTTGGGAAAATCTTGTTACTTGGAGAAGCAAGAAGCAAAATGTAGTGTCTAAAAGTAGTGCAGCAGCAGATCTAAGGGCACAAGCACATGGCTTGTGGGGATAATAAGAGTCCTAAAGGAACTAAGACTTGTACCTACTATCCCAGTTCAACTAAAATGTGACAGCCTATTAGCCATTGGGATGGTAAGAAATCCCATTTATCATGAACGAACGAAGCACGTGGACATTAATAAGCATTTTATCAAAGAAAAGGAAGAAGTAGGGATTATTAAGATTTCTCACGTGCCTTCATATTACCAAGTGGGAGACCTCTTCACAAAAGCCCTACCAAGACCTTTGTTTGAAGAATTCAGAAGCAAGTTGGGAATGATAGACATCTATTCACCAACTTGAGGGGGAGTGTTGTTACGGGCTGAAAACCCATTTAGTCATCAAATTATTATGCTAATTGTTTAATTCCTAGAATCTTGGCTAGTATCTCTAGAAATTAATTGTGATTATTTGGTTTTACTTAATTAGATTTGATTATGTGCATCTTACCTTTCCTAGCACCTATGTAACCCTAGTATTAGTGCCTATATATGTACAAATGTTTCCATTAAATCAATCAAGTTTTCTGGATTAATCTGTCTACAAGATATTATGACAAGACGACCAAAAGTAATATGAGGAAACAACAATAACAGAGAAGCACAGCTGCAGCATCCAGCAAGCACAGATTACTCCCTGGCTTTCAAGAGGTTAAAGCCCCTCCATATATTCCTTTCAGAATTCCATCACCTCATGTTAAGATACTACCTCTACCACTCACAGATTACCCCTTGGGTACTCCCGTACTTGCCAACTTCTCACTCTTCCAGCTCACCCCCTTCCCCCGCAATGTTGCACTCTGTTAGTTGCATTATTACCCACATGCCCTTCAAATTGTCTCTCCATCCTACGTTAAGAATATATATTCTTATCTCCCCCCCCCCCCACCCTCCCAAAAAAAAAAAAAAAAGACTTGTTTCCCTTTTTTCTCTTGCTATGTTAGAACATTGTCTCTTGTGGCTATATCACTTATTAGGCTTGAGTGGAATGTGAAGATAGGCTTATAGGGAGAGCATTAGGGCCTGAACAAAGTGAAAGTTCTCATCGCGCAATCTCTCTCAAACAAATTCAGCTATTAGGCCAAAAATCATAGCTTGGGGAAGAGTTACTATAGAGAAGAAATCCAACATCTTTAACGGTTAAGAAGGCTAAAATTATATTTAGAATCTTTATTCAAGTTTGCATTATCTAGTAGGAAGTAACTTTATACTGATAATATTGCTACATTTGAATTAGAGGTGGTTTCGAAATTAATCATAGGGGCAATTAGGGAGATTTGGGTTGTAGGAAACCCGTCTAGCATAAATGGGAAGATATGTGAGAACAACGCAGGAAACAGATCAATGTTGTGGTTATTGTATCTCTAAGGCTTGTTGCCATGCGTCAACTTTAGCTCTTAAAGGGTAATTTACTAAAATGCATCCACTTCTCTATAAACCACGTATATATGCATGTATATAAGTAAATAAGATTAACCTAACGTGAGTTATGGCTTCTCCAAATAATTCTCATGACATCCAAAATCAACTAACACATCACAAATGCTCAATGAAAAGAAAACCATTGATTGAAATCTGGCATACTTAATGGTATTTCCCCCAGCGTCATATATATTGAATCATCCTCACCAAGTGTTCCCTGAAACAATAAGTTGAATATCCAATTAAGTTAATCATAATTACATAGGTAACTGCTAACGTCTGGCCACATAAAAAAATCAAATTAAAAAAAAAAAAGAAAACACAGCTCAAAATAATGACATTTAATTTTATAGCACTGTAGATTATAATAAATGCAGTAAGCATCAAGTTTTCATGAAATATATATCAGGGCATAAATTAAATTCCTAATGAGTATCAAGCTTGCAATAGTACCGGTCCATTATGAAGGCCCATTTCATTGTGCACAGAGTTCATATCCCCTGGCACTGAAGAACAGTTTGGGAAATCAGACCCAAGCAATTCTGACAGCATTAGCCCATAACCACCATCCTGGACATCATGTAATTCAGCAGCATTTTGAGCGTGGTTAGAAAAGCCTTCAAGACCTGCAAACATTGCCTCTGTCCTGTGCATATAAATGAATTTAGATCAGTAAGTGACCAGGAAGGTGAATAAGGGAATAGACAATCTAAACAATCAGCCGCAGCTAACAGTGTGGTAATTGAATAGGAAAAAGGGATTTATGGTTCAAATATGACAACTAGATCATAGCAAACACTATTATTAAGATGCAGCGGTGAAAAATATAACATGCTCATGCCAAAAAGTATTTTAAAACATACACAAATGAAAAACATACTTTCTCTCCTTATTGTCAGCAGGTCTTCCTTCTTGAACAGAATCACTTTCTAGATCAATTATTTCAATCTCTTTGCTGCCTGTTGTACAAGTACTGAATCCACCAGATACACTGGCATGACTAATGGATAGATCAATATCAACTGGTTCTGTCCCTTTCTTCATTTCCGAAATGGAGGGATAGATAAGAATTGGATCATGATCATGATTATCATGCAGCTCAGATGTTTCCATGAGATTCAGATCACAAGTTCTAAATGAACTAGGCAATGGTTGTTTCTCCTCTGAACACTGAAGAAATGGTCTACTTCCGCCTGGTGTAAATTGAGTATTACTTATTAGGTTCCCACAACCCGATTTTAAAGTCGAGTCATCAAAAGGCGAAATTTCATCTTCCCCTGAGTTCTTTTCAATTGCCTCGTCATGCAGGAAATAATCTTTGGTCCTTGGGACAAAGGAAGGAAGCCACTCTTTTAGTTTTTTGGTTTCCTCCCTCCCATCGTCAGCATCTACTGCACGCTTTTCACCTCTTTCCTCACCCATTGATATGCTACCTCCATACTCTGGCAGTCTGGGATTGTACTCTGGGTTGTTACTATTTACATAAGCTCTATCTTGACAAGATTGCGAGCTCACAGATGTAACCTGCTCAACATTACAAGTAGTAACTAAATCTTTAACATTTTCAGCAGCATGAACAGATTGCACCTTGATAACTTCTGAATCAAGATGTTTTGAATCAGAAGCTTTGTCAGATTGCAATGCAGTGGATGACGAGCCTTTAACAGACTCTTCAGCAGGGATTTCAAGTCCTTGAATACACTCATTATCATTAGATTTTTCATTTCCATTGTTCCTGAGTGGATCAACCTTCAAAACCTTGTAAGTCAGTGAAGAACGCGTCTTGGTAGGAACCTTGACAGATTTGCATAGTGTCAGTAAATCAGTGCAAACCCTGCTACAGGTATTACTGTCTTGATCAGTGAGAGGAACAGATAAATTCTTTGAGACACTTGGTTTCTCTATATCATCATCGCAGGCACTATCCTTCATCTCCTTACCTCCTGCACTGCTATGGTCCAAGTTATTGGAAACCTCGATCAGTTCCCCCTCCGTACTATATGTATTATTTGCAGCAGTAGAAGATTCTGCTTTCAATTCCGTTTCACTTGAACCGGGCTCCTTGTCTGTCTCAGTATTTAAAACACCCCCGCCCTCACTTTTCGGCACAAGCCCAGTCGAGTCAGAATTTTGCGAAACATTCTCAATACCAACAGCTTGCTGCTCCTCCTCCTCATCGTGGGGTCTGGTAGTAAAAGTATCATCAATATCCTTTCTCTCAGGGGACACTCTAGGTCTATCAGGCCATGAGCCACTCCTTTTGAAGTCACGACCCCAATCGAAGCCATTGCTTCGGAAACTTCCCCCTCTTCTCCTTACTTTGTCTTTGAAGTCATCAACACCAAACTTTCTCCTACCAGATGACGAATCAGAAACTGAGCTTCCAAGACGAGCAAGGACTGATATACGCCCTTCCACTGGCAATTGCGAAGTATCTCCATCTTGTGCCCGAAAATCACTAGAGTGCTTCTTGAAATTAGAATTATGCCATTTAATAGAGAGAGTACTAGGTGGTAGCACACCCTGAGAAACCAAATACTCAGCAGCAAGACGACCAGCTTCCATGAAAATATCGCCCTTGCGAAAGGGTGGCTGGGAGGTATGAGAGAAAGCTTTGGGGTTCCCAGGACCCCTGCTAAAACCACCATCACGATTGCCATAAAAGCCATGGCCTCCTCTGATTGAACCCTCAGCTAGATTCATACCCATCCCCATGGAACCTGACCTATAACCATTTCCCGGGCTACGTTGGCGAGCGTGCATCGTGATGGCTGCCTCAGGGAATCAATCAACTCAATTACTAATTCTGCCACAGATTCGATGCTCAGCCAAACAGTTTCTCCTCCGGCGTCCACTGATTAATCTAGCAAAACAATCATAATAACCTAAAAAAGAAAATTTTACAAAGGATACAGATCTACACAATTGGTTACAAATTCTATACAGGCCTGCTTTCCATTTAAGAACCCCAAACTTCTGACCTCTCGAAAGGAATGTCGGAATTGGTTTTATTTATTTGATCCATAAATAGTATGTTTCACAGCTGCAGCTCAGGACAAGCAGAGAACATCCTGCGATCAAATGTTCGATGATCGAGCCACCTTCGCCTTTCCTCCGCTGCTTCCTTTCCTTTTTATTGGGGGATTTTTGGGGCCTATTTACCTATTTTGAAAACAGTTTTTTATTTTTAAAAAAAACATGTTTGGAACTTAGTTTTAGGGGGTGTTTGGGTTCCAACCCAAACCATGGTTTGAGAAAAAATCACCCAAACACCTTTAAAAAAACCAAAACCATGGTTTTGAATCAAAACCATGGTTTTGGAAAAAGCAAAATTTTTTTGTTTTTGGAAAAAAGAGGGAGAGTATGAAAGCCTATATAATATGTATCTTGTTATTTTTTTTACAAACATATTTTTTATAAATATATTTAATCTTATATCTTATAAATATATATACATATTAATTATTTATTAATTATATTATCTTATGTATTATTAATTATGTTAATAAAAAATATATTATTAACAATTTTATTCCTTCAAATTAAAATATATCATAAAATATATTTTTTCTGTAATTATCATATTAACTTATGTCTTTTTTAGTAATTTGTACATATAAAAAGTGCTTCTGGTAACAACTATCCAAACACTCTCACTTCTCAGAATCACTTTTTCACAAAATCTATTTTTCAAAAAATCTATTCTTTCCAGAATCTATTCTCCAGAAGCTATTCTCCAAATCATGGTTTGGTTATATCCAAACACACCCTTAATGAAGCGTTTTTAAAAACAAAAAAAAATAATGACTTGTTTTTTTAAGATGTGTTTTGGTTTTGTGTTTTATTTTATAAAAGCTGATACTTCTCCCTAACCTCTTCTCCGCTTGCTCATTGGCCCTTAAAGGGTTGAAGTACTCGCCCCTTGGTCCTTGTCAAGTAACATTTAATCGATAGGGTGCTCGATTAACCTTCTGTCAAAAGTAAGAAAGTTAATTGGCAACTTATCGATTATTAAATTATCTGTGAGGTGATCGTGAAACTCCTTACATTAAAACAGTTTAATAGATGATCAAACAAGCGATCAATAAACTTATTTATCTAGCAAGTTATTTAGCACAGTGAATTATCTAACACGTGATTGATAAAACTTGACACTATATGGACACAAAACATGTTGACAATTATCTAGCACATATTCGATTAACTAGTGATCGAACACTTGATTGATTAAGATAACAACTATGTAGAGAAATTTAAGTACTCATTTGTTATCATCACAACTTTAAATCTAACATAGTTGAATATAACTTGCATTAATAGTAAACATAAATAGTATAATTAAATCTATAGATGATTATTTGGCTCTTCACTTGCATATCACAAAGTTTTTGAGAGATTAGTAAGTACATAATAAATTAGAAAATTTTCAACTTCTGTAACGCGGTTGATAAGTGATGTAACGGTATTAATAAGTTAGCATGTTTTCCAAGAAATCATGAAAGTGAGATTTTTTTCAATTTCAGCGACAAAATTTACAATTCTCATAATGATATTAACAACTCTAATAATATTATTCACCACGAGATTTAAGAGGTATTTTGATTTTGAAAGATTTTTAAGTGTTTAATAAATTGAAAAATTTTCAACTTTTATAAGGCTGTTAACAGGTCATGCAACAATGCTAATAAATCTGGTAATGCAATTAACAACTTGTTTCAAAATATTTTCATAGAATAAAGACAAATGATACAATAATATGGTCATTTCAGCAAATTTCAAAATTCCTATTTAGTTATATGTGATAAAATGGAATTTCTCATATTAAAGTGACTATTTGGAATTTTTCAAACTGAAGTATTATTTTATTGTCATTTTCTCTTAAAATATTGACATCAAAATACCAATATGATGATAAAAAGTTAAGCAAAATATGCTTTTTAAAAATCATAATTAATATGTTTAATTTAGAAATATGCGTAAATGCCAAGCATTAGAGCTAGTAATGCAGGCTGACAGTGTGGATACGAGCCAGCCCATGCCTGCCTAAATATTTTTTTAAAAACAATTATTATTATTTGTATTGGTTGAGTAGTGGGTTATAATAAAATAATGTGAAGATTAATTTATAATTTGAGAAGACATTTTAGAAAAACTAACACATTTTTTTTCTAAATAATTAATTTGACTATTTTTCTTTTCCAAATTAATTAAATAAATCTTTTATGTGTGTATTACATATGCAATTATATGAATGAGGCGATGTCAATGTGGAATTTGAGGGTCAAAATCCTCCAACTATGTTGTATAATATATTGGGAATTGCATGAAAATAAAAATTTAAAAAACAAAAAAAGAAAAAAAAGTAGGTTAGCTCGTGGCGGAAAGGCCTCAAAGCAGTACAGGCTGGGAATTTCAGGTGAGAATAAAAATAAGGAAAATATAGTTCTGTTATATGCAAGCATTGAAGTGCAAGGTAAATTCATGTTATATGCAAGTATTAATTGAAACATGCTTACTTTTATCCCTCAGAGTACACATTCGTAAGCATTATGGTTCAAGCGGATCACGACACAAGCCCATGAATTTAATATTTCAATATAATTACTTGGGTTACTATTCATTTGGTAAAATCTAGAACTTTCATATTCCGTGTCTCAATTTTGGAAATTCGTATCTCCTTGTGTACACATCCAACTGAGGTGTTCTACCTATCATTTTAAAGCTTGGGATGTGTACAACATGTCTACCAAACTTTATGGCTTAACTGTTTCATTTGATAGGTCAAATTGGAGCTAGAAGTTGACTGCTCCAGTACCTACGTTTTATTCATTAGACAATTCTTGCTTTGATCCTTTTTATTGTTTTGGCATGCATAACTTGGCCCTATCCTTTCCCATTCATTCTTATACCTTTTTATTCGTGCCATAAACATTCTAAACAAATACATTACATCATTGGCATTCATATGCATAATCTACACAATAGGAGAATTATACATTAATTAATAGCTTCAATCATTAACATGAATAATTCTCCACTTTCTTCTCCTTCCTTCTCATGCTCTCCTTCATGCAATCACTGTCCATCATACTTGACCTAAATGGTTGGTTAGGGAGGGTGAGATTTGGGACAATCTCAGAAGCAAACAATAACCACCCAAACATACATGGCAAGCTTAGCATTTATAACATGCTTACAACTTAACATCTCTATAACATAATGACATGTTTGGAAATCATCATGCATTTATCATAAAACACATAGGCCAATGGCATATTTCAAAAATATTCACAATCACAACACATGAGTTCATAAAATCATATAACATAGAAATATGTCATACATGCAAGCAAATACCAAGCACATAAGAGTAAGGTCAAGTTTGCTACCTTGTATCCTTAAGCTTTCTTCTTACTCCTTTTTGCTTCTAACCATTAAGGTTACTTGCTCAACTACATCCAGACCTTCTCTTGAATTCATCAAGGTCCTAATCACAGTCACAACGGTCACATTACTCATTAGGATCAAGAATTACACAACATGTAAGACTTATGTCCGTAAACTTCATACTTTTTCCTTAATTTATAATGCAGTGTTCTAGCTTTGTAAAAATTGTTCTCTTAGGCCAATCATATACAATTTGCCCAAGAATCCAATTATAATCTTAGATTTATCAAAATCTAGCTCCTTTCCCTGGTCCTACGCCAAAACTGAAAGCTGCCACTTAATTTCCAGTTTTGCTTTCGATGCTTCCAACTTCATTCTTTCATCTTATCCCTACACAATTTTTCATTTTAAACACATTGGAAGCATCAAAATGATCAAAATCACATCCTAGGCATAAGAACCAAGTCTGGCTGAAACATTTCCTCAACTTACACAATCATGAAATTCAACCAATTTCTGCATAAAACCACTCGATTCGTGTTCCTTTCAAGCCTTTGAACATTATTCTAACATCAATTTCATCTTCTCCTATTCTTAAAAATTTTGTGCATTATGCCCCCTTAGGGTTTCAAACTCTCAAAAATCATTAAAATCCATAACCAAGCTCAACAACAACAAGGATAGTGAAAATTACATCAAAAACCATAAACATACCTTGTCTTAGAGCTTGATCTTGCATGAGACCACTTGGCCTTTCTTTCTCCTTCTTCTTTCTCTCTCTAGAAACCATTTTTTTAGAGCTTCCTGAAGGTTTCCATGAGCTTGGACGAAATGAGGGGTCGGGAGGGTATTTATAGAAAACAAGACTGAATTTGGGCCATTTATCTTAAAAATACGTGGCTTGATCTGAACCGTCCATTTTCTCTTTTAATCTTACGATGACAAGTGTCCTATGACATCATGCTTATCTCATCATGATGACATCATGCTTACATCATCAATCTACATGCTTTTAATCCGACTGTACACGTGTCTTGCATCCGACCGTACATGTGTCTTGCAGCCGAATGTACATGTGTCTTGCATCCAGCCGTACACGTAATACCTTCTTTTCCCATCTGACCGTACACTTGTCTCTTCCATTTTCCTTCATCATTAAGGAATTAAAGTAGAGAGGAAATTAATATAAAATTCGTGCAAAATACCACCTTTAGGCATTCCCCTATTTATCTTGCCATTTTGCACTGTATAGGGTACTTTTTAGGTTCCTGACTATCTCGGGACCACTGGGACATGTTATAGCACCATTTTCTCACCTCAAATAAATTCACATGGCATTATATAACATGCCCAAAGATAGAGTGATGCTCTTCTCTTGTTCTTCCATAAAAATAATTAAAATAATTAATAATATTTATTTTGGAGTGATCTTGACCGAATTCTTTCTTCCAGTCCACAACTACGAGAATCTATCTCCAGGTACCAATACTATTTATTCATCACAGGGAATTCTTCTAATTTTTCTTAAGTCAAAAGTCAACCTTTAGACATTTGACTTTGACTTTCCCTAGATAGTATGTAAATAGGCTTTAAATTCTATTAAAGCCAACATCTTCGCTTTCTGGGGACGGAATTATTTTTAAAACCTGTGATAATTCCTCAAGTATTTTTTTCTATTTTCTTCCAATTATATGAG